GTTGTATAAATCAGACGTGTCATCACCTAGAGAACCAAGAGTCCATCTAAAAGCCATCTCAGCAAAGCTTGGCGGGCTCGCTTGAAAAGCTTGAGGTCTTAGCTAGTACCTGCTTATTGGCTGCTTACACTAAAATTCTATATTATGAACATAACATGGTAGTTAATGTTCAAATGGCTATCAAATAGAAAAGGAACATAAGTCCAAACATTTGAAGGTTTATAAAACTAGCAAAACCCTATGAAGTCAGTAACAATTATATCATATTAGAGTTACGAGTATTAAAAAATTAAATTTTCCATGCTTGTATACCTTGCATTCAGATATTTTTTGACAACCTGCTTAAGTGAGAAGAGAGAGAGAGGGGGGGGGAGGTGGGGGGGGGGATTAGAGAAATTTTATTTAGAAGTTGTTGTTGCGGGAAGTTTATGTGTGTCTTATTAGTAGGTTGGATTAGGTAGGTTACTTGATATAGTGAAATTGTATCCTTGGTTTCCTTCGGTTCTGCAAAGTCATGAGATTGGAGAGGAGATCTTCTAATCGAGAATAATGATTAATTGTTTGCTTTTTTCATCATTAACTGATCATTCTAAGGGTTTTTTTTGTTTTCCTCTAATTAAATCCCGAAACTTGCTTGCTGATTAATCTATAATTTGATTTTGCAATTTTTATGTGCATATTCCTATCATCAGGTAAAGCTACTATGTTTTTAGGCCGTTTGGTCGTTGGGTTTGGGGGGGGGGGGGTGGGGGTATTCACAATACGGGATGTAATGCCCAAGAAGTGGATGTTGAAGAACTTCTGAGGGGGTGGGAACAGATCCAAACAAAAACAGTGCGGACACAAAAATTTCCTCCCATGGAACATCTCTGGCCATAGAATATGAAAAGGTTGTCCCACACCAACGCAATGGAGGCGAAACGGCGAGAGAAAATACTATATGAAATTCATAGGAGGAAATGGTATACATAGAGAAGAAGGAGACGACATGGACCCTACTCAAGGACGAGAGAGGCAGTATGAGGAGGTGACTGCGGTAGGAAAGGGGTAAGTTGTAAAAGGAGGGTTATAGGCGAGAGGTTGGTGTTTCAGAGAGAAAGGGGGATTGAAGAGTTTTGGTTATGATGTGGAAGGAGGATCGAGAATTGGGGGGGAACCATGGGAGGGGAAATAAGTGAATGGGATGGTTCGAGGTTAGGAAGAGAATGAAGAGCCTGATTGAGTGAAACGATGCACTATGTGGATTACAAGGTAGAGAGTTTTTCGTCGTCAAGGTGATGGAAAAGGAGAAATGATGGCAGATGTGCGTATGTTAGAAGAAGAGGTTGTACTATGGAAGGCATGAAGCAAATCTAACGGATTGTGGGGAGTGCAAAATAATTCTTTTGAATTTTTGACAGGGAGGGGAGATTGTATGAGATTCTTGCCTGTATGGAAGCTCGTGGCGTAACGCGATAATTTGAGTATAGGGACATGATTGGCATTGGCTGTCATGAGACATTTGTGGCGAATCATGAAGGGGCCAAAATCAGAGAATTCGAGAGCAGGAAGTCAGATGAGGGCTCAGACTTGGGATGGAGGAGACCTTTGGAGGTGGAGGATTAGAGTGACGAGGAGAACTAGAGGCCGAATAAGGATGAACCACTTTCTGAGTACCCAAGGGCCTATCGGCAACCTTTTGAGATCAGGTAGAAGCCTTGGAGAGAATTCAAAAAGTGAATGATAGATATGAACAACAGAAAAATCGTGTGGTGCTCCATAATATATGTGCCTTATAATTTGCTATATTATATAAATAACTTCTTCTCTCGTTCTCAACTCATTTTTATTTGATAACCTGGTTTATAACCATCTTGAGTTGACATTTCCATTTTCAATTCCTGACACTTGTGGTAAAACCCACACTACACTAGATCTAGAGCTTGTTCTAAAAAATGCTGTCCATTTATCTGAATCAGTTCGTAACTGTGCAATAACTGTTTTTAGTTTTATACGTTGGCAATGACACTTAGAGCATGAGGACTGAAACACTTTTGAGTTAGAGTTAAGCAGACAACAGCCTTTTGAGTGCAGGAGTCATAGCACACAGACATCTAAAGCATTAAGTCACTAACTTCTATTCGTACCTGCGTCTGCATAAAATAATTTGTCAGAGGATGGGATCAAGTTACATTTAATCCATTCTTAGTCATCTCATGAAGTTATGTCTGAATACTGTTATTTTTTTTTCTTTATGGCCTTGATAATAATGATGAGGACATCGCACGAAGATGGCGCATCTATCACGGGAGGGCGCGGTAAATCGGCGTCTAATTACGTTGTATTTATGATATTTATAAGTTTAGCTTATTATTAGTTATTTCCTGTCTACTATAGCGTTAGTTTATTTGAGTGTGGCCTAAGGGGAATTTGTAATTCGATTTTTCCAATGCCTTAATGCTAGACTAGTAAGAGATGGTATGGATATAAAATTGTGTCCAACTTGTGTTCTGTGAGAGAGCGTTAGTGAGATTCCTATGGGAGGAATCAGAATGAGTTTTCACCAGCCGTAGGAGGATCGGCTCTTGACGTGAATCCTTGGAGAAGAGAAGCTCACCGTCATACTAACGGAAGATCCAGGCTTCGCGGTTCTTTTTCTCTTCTGTTTTTTCCTTAACGTTCTGTTCGTTATTTTTTTATTTTCTTCCTTCTTATCTCCCGTCGTCGTATTTCATTTTCTTCCTCTCGCACTCAACCTCACGGGCAACATCCATCCAGCCCCACAATTTACTCACAACGAAGAGCCCCCTTTCCAAAGCCCAGCTCCAATTGCCCCAAAAACCTGCATGCCAATGACCAAACCGCGCCCCTCATCTTCACTGCCGCGACCACTCCCCTCTTTTTCCTCCATTTTATTCCTTATTATGATAAATTGATGTGGAAGTTCTGGAAATCAAAATTTAATCATCTGCTGAACGTTCAAAATTTTCTAATCTTAAATAGCATATTTTGAAAGTTTCTATAACACTCATTTTGA